GACCACCGCGGCTTCAAGTTTTTGTTGTTGCTGCTGTTATATCACTTCATCCCTCTGAGGTGTGTCACTTGTTTCTCTGTGTGTTTGTGTGAAAAGAAACCTGTCAGTGTTGGTTACCCTGCCAGTTCACACTTCTTTAGGATCACCTTTTATCCTGTCAGTTCAGGACATGAACACAGCAAAAGCAACAATGGATTATTTTAAAATGCATGCGTCTCTTTTGTCGGGCAAAAGTGCATTCTGAGGAAGATTATATGATGATCCTGTGAAAAGTAAACACAAAAAAATATGACTCATGGTGAACACTAAAGAAATATGTTTTGACGTAATAAACAGAAAATTAATTTGACAGAGATGCTATTTGGAGTCGGAGGTCATGATGGCCGCAAGCAAGAGGAACAATCAAAGTCGCACTGAGTGACTTTGGGCACGAAAATAAATATAATAGTCACTCTGCTTTGGATTAGGTTTTTAGAAGTTTGTTCATATTGTCCACCCTGCAAGGGAGAGAATTATTCTAGCTGAGATTTTACATTGTCATGTAAAGTATGGAATACAAATTCCTCATCTGTTAGTGTGTTATATATAAAAAAAAATCTAAATTTGAATTTCTATTAAGAAAAATATCAATTTATATTTAAATGGCAGTTTTTCATCTTAATTTGCAACATCACAACTTGAGTTTTGATCAAACAAATGTATAATTTTGTTGTGCTGATTTAGTTACTGTCTGATTTTGTCCGTCCCCTGACTGCAGCTCAAGAATGATATGCATTTGGTCTGCTGACACACCAAATTTAAGCCTTTCTATTTTTTTTTTTTTTTTAGTTGGGACAAAATATATAGAGAATAGATTAAAATTTTCATACAATTAGAAATGTTAGTTCAAGCAAGCATTCAATATTTAATAAAGCATTTTGCTTTATTTTGATTTCATAGTAAATAGAATCACATTAATCCATTGGCTGTTAATTTACCGCAGGAATCAAAGTGTTAACGCTTTCACTATAATAACTAACAAATACTGGATTCCTAACAGTTCTTTGAGGAGTTACTACACACACACACATTTGATAATATATATTCATGTGCTTGTATTTGTTTAGTGCTCTTTTTTTTAAAACTGTTTTTCACTTGTGCTCTTTCGTAGACTACTGTTTTTTAAATTCAAACTCTAAAAGAAAATGCAAATGCGTGGTCTGCCATGCAGCTTTCTCTGATGGATACCTGCAATTTGTGGGAAAATTTGCATTCAAACTAACCGTGCAAAAATACTTGGATCAAGAATTTGTTTGACCACGCTGAAACAAGCGCATTTAGGGAGAATAAATTGACCTTTAACTAAATAGGCCTATTATCCATGCAAACACCGGAGGGCTCCTTTACCTTACTGTGCAGCCTTAAATCACCCTTCACAACACGGTGGTGCAGAAAACACAAAGTTAAACCGCTCTCCTGCACATCAGCGGCCCAATTTGTCAAAAGCAAAGAGGCGACACACGGAGAATGAAATAGATTTAAAAGGAAAACAGTGAAACGTGACACATCACTGTTGTGCTTCAGCAGCAGTCTTTCTCCCAGATTAATTATTTTAAGAAAAGTGATGTGTTAGTAGACGTAACTTAATGGAAGACTTCCCCTTTGATCCCATTTGTGGCAGCGTGAGATTAAATTTCAGACTGAAGCGACGGGCACGCCCGTCTCTGGGTGTGCATCTTCTTCTTCGGGTGTAATGCCAGTTAGAATAATTAAGCTGGAGGGCCTTACGCTCAATAATGGACTTTGACAGCAAAATCAAAAAGGCCTGTGTAGTGACTGATGAGATCTCGGCCCTTTGTTGTTAAGAGCAAAGAGAGAAATGTACAGTGAGCTTCAAACACAGAAGTATAATAATCACACATCCTTCAATCTGTCGTATAATTCAGCTCTCAAACACGAAGCAATCTCTTCATGCTTTCCGCGTGTTTCCTTCTCAAACGCCCATCACAAGCAGTAAGTCAAAGATGGACACTTACACACTCTTGCGTTCGTTATATTGATCCATGCTTACACAAGCATTAGCACTCACTTAGAATGAGAGGCATGTCTTCACCCAAACATAGCAGAGCAGCGCTCTCACACGCAGCCTCACTTCTTTAAAACATACAACACGCACGCAAACCTAAATAAGTGCGTGCCTTCACTCCGGTCTGCCGGGTTCCTCCAAATTGAATCATAAAGCAGCTGATGTATTCATCCAGTGTGTGTGATTTAACAAGGTTTGCACCGCCTCGTCGTAAATCATATTAATAATCTCAGTCTACTATTGAATTTTCTTTTTTCGTGTGTCTTTCTAAGCCACCGTGGTGCTTTTTTTTGGTGTGTTCTTCCTTTTGTTGTTACTTTCATGATCCACCCAATTCATGCAAACACACACACACACAGAAGACACAGAAAACTGGTTTTCCTCTCACAAGTCTTTATTCATCCGCGTAGAAAAAAGACGACAGATCAATAAATGAAACAGCATTTTGCACTCGGTTTTGTCTATACATAAGTGTTTTCATTATCACATCTGAGGATATTTTTAAAGGAAAGATTTTCTAGAAAGAATGAATGGTAGCTTTACTGCTCTTTCAAAAAGTGATTTTAAGAAAAATAAAATACAGATATAAAGAAACTAAAAAAATACACACCAGAGCTCCTTGATTATCATCGATACACAGCAACACAGGAAGGAAAATCAGAAGAGTACAACCAAAAGAAAGAAGGAACGGGTTTCAACACTTAAAGGCTCTATCTAAGTTTCTCCTTTCTCCCTCTCTGTCCTCCTTCTCTTTCATCTGGAAATCTGGCTGTTTAAAAATGATTTTCCATCAAAGTTCCTCCTGCATTTGGGTGTGTTGGTGGGCTCAGTGAGAGGCAGTCAGAGAGCAGGGGCTGCTTTCCTGTGGACGTGTTGGTGTTGAGATGCACAGTGAAGCGGTCGGGCTGTTAGCAGATCCTCTATGCTTATCTAAGGCCTTAAAACTGGACACCCTGAGTCAACAAATGTTTCTCTGCCAACACTTTATCAGCTCATCTTAAATAATTTAGGTTAACCAAACTGTCTGATTTTCAGTGCTTTAGCTTAATACAAAAAATGCAAGTTAAAATGGATTCTGCAATTAATCGCAGATTTAACTGAGGCTGCAGTTTCAGATAATCCAAAATGTATAGGAATATCTTCCCATTTTATGTGAAATGTAAAGTTGAAACAAGACATTTGCATACATGTACTGTATTCAAAGACACACCTGTTTTCCCTCAGTTTTTCATGCTTTAGGTCAGTTAGGAAAACCCCCGTGATTTATACGGTATTTGCTAAATGTCTCGATGAATCTTCAACGCTGGATCCAATTTCCAGAGACCTGAAGGTGCTACATTCATCTGTTTAAAACAAATATGTTTAAGTGTAAACATCAGGGGAACGCCCTTTCACAGATGGGTTCCGTTTCCCAGAATCCTGTAGTGACATGGGCTGACAGGCCACTCAGACGAAGAGGCCATTACTCCAAAGCAAACATAAAAATTACACTTTTCATGTGCACACAGGGACAATAACATTAATTGCTGGAGTCATGCTCTGAGGTCCGACTTTAAAACTGAAGTCACATTTGGATTAAAAAGTGTGATGCTTGCACCATCCTACTGAGGAGAATGGGAGTGGCAGCCATCATGTTGCCTGGGTGGTTTGCTGCAGGAGGGACCGGTGCGCTTCGCAGGTAACTGGGGACTCAGATTACATGTCAAGGGTAATATTGTTTGGAAATCTTAAAGCAAGATGTCAAGACATCATCCAGAAAGCTTGGGCAAAAGTGTGCATTTTAAATAGATAGTAACCCTAAGCATGTCGCCACAAAACGGCATAAGGACAACAGAGTCCATGTTTTGTAGTGGCCATCGCAAAAGACTGCTGTGGTATGGAGGAATAGGTCAAAATATTTTAAAAAATTAAATTGTTAACAAGCAGTTTTTCCAAATAAAAAAGAGAGAAATGTTTGTAATCTTCTTAATTAGAAAAAAGGAATTTAAAAAGAGACCTTAAAAAAACTTTCATTATTCTGGAATTTATTAGATATTAAATAAGTTTGGCGTCACTAACTGACCTGAAACAGAGAGAACTTCAAATGATTTACTGTGAGAGAAGGTTGTGTCTTTATTTATAATTTCCATGTAAATGTCTGGTTTACAGAAACCTGAAGTTATTGTTAGCTTCCTAAGTTTGGGGCTTGGACAATCATATTATGTTTTTAATTAAAAATAAACTCCATTGTTTTAAAAACCCTATATATTTTATATTTAGTGTCTGAACATATCTAAGATCACATAAAAAAATCTGATAGGGTTGGTTTACTAGATCCATGGTTCTATAGCTGGTGTCACTTTAGTTGCCTTTAGAGACACTCGTAGAAATTTGTTGACATAAGCTATTTAAAAAGTGTGAAGTGAAGAGTTTGAAGACCCAAACAGCCCATAAAACTGTTCAAGATCATTGATCTATAATGAAATATTACATAAAAAGAGAAGTTGGGAATGTTTAAAGAGTCAAGAAAAAGTGAAAGTGGCTACTTATGCTGCACTTCATTTACTTATTAAGTCTGAACTTGCATCTGCAGAAGACCTGAAACCCAATGTATCCATGATCCATGTTTGAGCTGCAGGTCAGAAAACCGTTAGGCTCTACCAAGGTTTGTTCTCAGTGTCCACACCAATTACTTTTGGCAGTATAAGCTTACAGCTATGTAGGCATTTAGTCCATTTAAACACTATTAAATAATGTTTAATAGATAAACATCTCACTCTAACCTTCTAATGGCAGCCATATTGGATTTTGACATCACGGTCGATGAGCAACTTCATTTTTTCCCTTTTTGAATTCTGTCTTCAGGGAATCTTTGTGTTTGTTTTAACAACATGGATTGTGGACATTTTTCATTCACACATGTAATGCTAATATGTTTATTTTTCCCTTTTCTTGAGAGAAACACAACAAACTGAAAAAGTCCTACTTTGTTATGATGTCTCCACAGCATTTTGAAAACTTTGTATTTTGAGAAGTGTTTTTTTTAATTAATGTCCCATGGTAGTTGATCGTTCAAAAATATTGTGGTTTTTGTATGATCAACCAGGCTGTAGGAGAACACATGAATATCAGAATGCAAAATCACATTTAATATAATAGATATTTTTTATTAGTATGTTCCCCCTCTTTATTTTTCCTGAATCACAATAAAAACAACAGAAAGAAAACAAACGTCTTTAATCAACCCCAAGCTCCATAATGTGAGTAATAAGAGCTCAGTCATTATAATTTCTTTCACAAAAATGATCTGCTGCTCCAAGTTATTGCCAAATAAAAAAGTTTGGCCTTACTCTTGAAGATAAATGGGTTACTATTATAAGATGCATGATTAGTTTCTTTCATTACTGTGTGAAAGATAATTTAATAATAAGACCAAGCCAAATTAAAAACTGGGTTCATACTGTTCTTCTTAATTCAGAATATTTTTTTTGTTTGGAGATTATTCTGCCTTTTGTTTTTCTTGCCTCTTCCTCACTTTGTTTTATTTATTGAAATGTTCTTCGCTCTATAAATCAAACAAAGTTCAATCAAGTTTTTGACAGAATCATGCAGTCTTTTATCGCTCATGTTTGTTGGAAGCAGTGGCCACGCTGCGGGCAAAATTATATCCTTTTTTAAGATGAAGAAGTCACATTATTCCAGTTGTCAGCCCTCTTCCCCTCGATCTTCTTTTCCTTTTGTCCTCTTTTTTGCCTCCTGCCGCTTCATTGGTCACACGCCCTTTTTTAACTTAACTCCTGTGTCTTTCTTCTCCTTCCTCGCTCTCTGCCATAAGCAAGCCACCTCTCAGAGAGACTACATTCCCCCCACCCAAACCAGCACCCTTCTCTTTTTCCCCTTGTCGTCTTTTATCTTCTTTTCCTCCATCCACCCATCTATCCATCACCCCCTCACACACACTTTCCCCCTCTCTTTCCCACTCATTAGTCTACCCATGCTGTGGTTTGTGTCTCCCGTCTCTGTCAGAGCTGTTATCACTGCTGTCAGCTCCTTTGGCGAGAACAAAGTCGTCCTCTGCTCACAGCACCACAAAAGACACGAGAGGAATGAAAGGAAAAGAGCTTCAGCTCTAAAAAAAGGAAAAAAAAACAAAACTAAAAAAGAGGCGGAAAGATGGAAAAATTAAAAGGGGAGGGGGGGAAGTAAACCAGAGGAAAGAAGGGAGCAAGGAACACATCTTTTTATGTCAGCCATGATGCATTGTCATCTGTGGGTTATAACAACCATTGATTTCTCCTTTCTGTCACCCGTTTTATCTATACAGCACAGAGCTTACAGTTGGAAGGAAGATATGAGCGCTATCTCTATACACATCAAGTGCCTTTTCCTCATATTATAAATATATCTCCTGCTAAATCAGCTAAGCCTAGTATATCAACCTCAAATAATTTACCGTGTATTATTATGAGCTGAGAAGAGCAGTAGGTTTGAAAGACACTGAGATATCCAAAAGAGGAAACATAACCATTTAGAACAATAAGCAGTGCTGAGAGAAGAGCCTACTGTATTTTGTAGGATACAGCAGAAGAGTATAGTGGGACTCTTACTTCTGTTGCTTATTAACATTGTCCCATCATCATCATCATCTACTAAGCAAACCAATCAGAATCGAACCATCAGAGGCACAGAGGGTACTTTGGAAACCAAGGGCAAAATGCCACCAGCCAACAGGGCTCTGGTAGCTCAGGGATTATGACCTGCATCATCACGTGTAGGCATAATCTATGTCAGGGATGCCACCCTCTCTGTAGCCACGGTTGGTGCCATAAGTGACATGATGGTGGCTGGCTTGGCTGAGGATAGTGCCATTGAGACTGCCAGCTCCATGGCTGCTCCGATAGGTCCCATTAGCTTGGGAGGAAGAGGAGGAGGAGGAAGGGAAAATGGTGTGGATGTAGGTAACGTCCTCCAGCTTAGGCTGCAGGGACTGATGGGCCATAGCTGTCATCTGAAAGCCTGCAGGAGGGGCCCTGATCTCCAGGATGGAAGTGTCTTTCTTGGTGCCTGACTCTACGTAGTCATCGTAATGCTTTCCACCCCGGCCTCTGCTGTATGAACCCGAGTCCCCAGACATGTAACCTGATCTCTGTCCATACCAGCAGAAGATGGCAAAGATGAGAAGCAAGCTCACCAATGCTGTGGCACCCCCTATAATTCCAGCCAGTGGCAGAGCTGTTAGCTCAGAGTCCTGTCCCTCTTTGTCTGCACCATCCCCTCCAGAGCTGACATCTCCAGTCTCTATCTGAGCACAGGCTGGAGCTGAGTCTTTACTATCTGTGTCCATGCCTCCAGCACGAGATGAGCCCATGCTGGATCCCCCAAAGGAGACCTCCTGTCGCAGTGGCAGAAGGCAGATGAGGTAACGGGAACGTGGAGTGAGCTGGTTAAGGAGGTACTGCCTCTTCTCTCCAGCAACCAAAGTCTCTGTCATTGAGCCCAGAGCTACGCTGCTTCCCATTCTTAGCCATGACAGGCGGAAGGAGGGTGCTGGCTGTGGGTACAGCCAACTCACAAGGACACTGTCTGAAGAGAGAGGTTTAACAGTCAACTCAAAGGCCTCTCCAGATACTTGTCCACCTTCCCCCGGAGGCAGGGGCATAATGAGACCTGGCCACTTAGGCCGCAGAGTGAAGAGAGAACCTTGTGTGGGGACCAACAGAGGGGCAGTTGTGGTGGTCCCATGAGGGACTACTTGACTCTCTCCAACATCATCTTCACCTCCTCCATTTTTTTCGACTGGGTTCACCACTTCTCCAGGACTAGAACCTGCTGGGGGGCCTTCACACTGCTCCATTAGTGATGTTAGATCTCTGAGCGACTGGCCCCGTACAGACTCTGGCCCCTGACAGACAAGGCCTCTGACTGTCACTGCTGACCCACGGCCATGCAACCAGGAATGAAGCCAGCGAAGATTGCAACCACAGTTCCAGGGGTTTCCTCGAAGCAGCAGTAACTCCAGGCTTTCGGTGTCTCTCAGAATCCCTCGTGGCAGACTGGTCAGATTGTTTCCTGACAGGTCCAACCTTTGTAGGTGCTTCATCCCATCCAACGTTGCCCTTGGAATGTGGGTCATCCCGTTGTCTTGCAAGTGTAGTCGAACCAGGTGAGCTGAAGGCAGGTTGACTGGCGGTGACTGTAGAGCATTCCTGACCAGCGACAATTCTGTCAGGTTAGATAAACGAGAGAAGGTATCGTCTGCGATCCGCGTGTTGGCCAGCAGGTTTCCGTCCAGGACCAGACGTCGCAGGGAGGAGAGACCACGGAAGGCATGCGTTGGGATGGTGCTGATCCTGTTGTCATCCAGTCGCAACTCTTCCAGTGACGCGGGAAGGCCTGCTGGAATGCTCGACAGGTGATTCCGAGACAGAAACAGCAGTCGTAGCCTTGGAGTCCCAGAAAAAGCTCGATCCTGGATGCTAACTGTTGATATTGAGTTATCATCCAGGTGTAAACGTTCTAATAATGGTAACTTGGCCAAAGCTGATCGTGGTAACGTTCGTATATTATTATCCTGCAAATGAAGCTCCTTTAGGGACGGAGGAAGGTGTATCGGAAACTCATCCAGCTGGTTGGCGTAAAGGTATATCACTCGTATAGAAGTGCTGCGTTCCAGTGACTGTGGCAGCCCGGCGTTGCTCAGCCGGTTGCTCTGCAAGTAGAGGATAGCAGCCGTTAATGGCAGCGGAGGGATTATGCTCAGGCCACGGTCGTTGCAGTAGACAAAACCTTCATCACAGCGACACACGGAGGGACAAACAATTCCCTCATCTCCCTCGCCTGTCTCCATGGCGATTGCAGCTGCCGCCAGCTCCAGCACCTCAGCCAATAAGGTGAGGACCAGGAGGAGGAGAAAGAGCCAATCGCGGAGCTCAGCAAGACTTTCGGCTGCCATGTTGGTGAATGGTTCCTGACCTGAAGAGAAGGAAAAGTTATATTAATATTAGGATAGGTCAATCATTCTAAAGCCAAAGGTGTACTGATATATTACATTCAAATAAAATAAAAAAACCCCGACAGTTGAAGTGATTTCTGAGACGCTCAGTTTTCAATTCCCACCTGCTGGCTAAAAGTGAGGCCTTTTTTCTCAAGAGTTGAAAAGAGTTGGGAATAGAACAGTCAGACGCCCTGAAGAGAAACTGTCCAGTTCTATATGGGTCAGAGCATCCAAGCAGAAGACAAAGTGACATTTAGATCCAGTGAGTTCAACGAGGGGTGGGTTGACCGGCGATAAAGATCATAAGAATCGGAGAAAGCAAAGAGACAACAGAAATGGAGAAAATTGGACACTGACAGTTGAAATGGGGGGGAAATAAGTGAAGACGGCTTTATTTTCTATGAGGTTAACAGAACTGGAGCGCGTGACACAAAAATGAAATGGAGGATAGATCGGGGAGAAGGAGATTAGATTAATTGGCTCTGGCGCAGTTGATGGATCTGAAAACAACACAAGTATCAAAGTTGCTGTGACAGTGTTAGATCTGACCCTGGCAGAAAAGGAGGATAATAACTCAACAGAGAAACATTAATTTCACAGATTTTTGAAGGTTTACTCTGATGCATAATGTGTCTGTTTGAGGTCATGACCACTTTGTGAACTGTGAACACAAATTAATAACCACACTGAGCACTAAGTGCACGTAATGTGCAGTCTTTAAATTCTACAACGTGTATAATGCACATTTTCGTCAAGCGGTTATTGTTTGTAAATTTTTCCAGACACACTTTGTCTGGAAACCTTTTTTCATTCAGAGAAATATTATTAAAGCACTCTTAAAAACTACTGTCTCACTTGCAGATGTAAAACACAAAACCCCCCAACAAAATTCAGTTTTTGAAGAGAAAAAGCTTTTCAAATTAATCTGGCCTTTTCTTACAAACTACCTCTTACCTTAGGTTAGTTCCCCCCTGTTCCATGTTTCCTCTCTCTGTTAATAATTACTGCTACTGTGGTTTACTGGAACCTTAAACAGTTACTTTGTAAGCCTTTCAAAATGAATACATGACAGCTCTAGCAGTAATCAGCTCTGGGTGTGGCTAATGTTATTTATTTATTTATTTACATAGAGCCAACTATGTTTCCACTTAAATTAAAAGTATTTATTTAAGATTTGGATTAACTAAGGTTGTCCTTCATATATTCAAATTACTTCAATGATCTACAAGATTTAAAGTTGAGAAAACGCTGAAAATTTTTTTCTTAGCACTGTATGTCTTTTGCTTAATATTTTGTTCCCCACCGACCCCCCCAAAAAATCTATAGATTGAAATTTAATAGCACAAATGTTTACAATCTAAGTAATATAGTGTCTTTGGTTTCCATTTCAGTGCAACTATATGTACAATTGGAGCCATGTACAGTAACAAATTTGTTGAAATTACATTTTAAGCACTAAACCCTTTGTCTTCAGCTAGCCTGAGGGTGGAAAATGTGCCCTGATGGGAAAGGGCTGACATGATTTGACAGCACATTTGATAAACAAATCCTCCAAAGGCAAGTTTCTTTTCTGCCCCCCCTTCTGTATATGCACATGTGTGTTCTTGTGTGAACTCTGTGCTCGATGCAAAATTGCCCTTCGGCTGCAGTCAAAATCCATGCAAAGCAAACAAGAGATGGCGACAATAGAAGAAATGAAGAGGTTGGAAGGGGGTGAGGAGACAGATGGAGACTTGGACAGTCAGTCATGGGAGGAGAGGGGAAATGAGTTTCTGGCAGTGAAGACTGAAGTCGGTATCAGCTGAGTTCGCTGCAGAAAGAAGAATGGATCCAATCCCTGACTGGGTGTTGTTTTTTTTTCTTTTCTGTTAGATAGGTGTAAAAATAGCTGTGCTTGGTACTTTTATATGCCTCTGTTGCATGTCTCTGTGAAAATGTGACAGAGATCGGTATCTACAACAACCAGCTCCTGTCTCTGCCTGACACGGTATTAGATACATCAGGGCGAAAAAGTGTCTGTGTCACAGAATTTGGCATTAACCCTGACTTCACTTTCTCTGTTCATAATCTTATTTTTAGCTCAAATCTGTGTTTGGAAGACAGAAAAAGTACAACAGATATACACAGGCACATAAAGGGAGGGTAAAGGTAGGAGCTGAGACCAGATTGGGATGCTCTATGAATATCAACTAGCATATGTTTCAGTGCCACAACATCCCCACTTCCCTCTCATAAATATCCTCTTGGCACAAGCTTGTTTGTGTATTTTCGCCCACATGCCAAGGTTTCCAATCGACATGTTGCTTTAATGATCCTCAGATTTTCTGTCCTATGCCGTCCCTTATTCGATCTCTTGCTGTCTCTTCTCTCTGCTTCTTTATCTTTTACACCATCTATCTCGCCAATCCACACGCCTTCCCTTCATGACCTGTCATTATATCCACTTTAAGGTTTGTTTACAGAACTATCCTTGTCCTCTCTTCCACTGTCTCTATTTTCTTCTAATCTTCTTTTATCGTTTCCTCTCCAGTTGTTTGTTGATTCCTGCACACTGAGATTGGATCAATCAGAAGGGGTTTAGTCTTCCTGCCTACAACTCCTCAGCTCCTCTCCTCTCTTCCTTAGTAACAGAGATCTGGATGCAGCAGACCACCTCCTTTGCTTACTCCTACTCCCTCATCCTCTTTCTCACTCCTCAGCCTCATCTTTATTGTAGAGATGCACTGATCAGAGATTCTGTGTCTCCAATTTTGTGCATTTTGACATTCAGAAACTGATTTTAATTGATTCACCTTAAGAAATATAAATCAGCCTTTCAAAGTATATTTTCTCTACTGTATGTGTCTGGAAGTAAAATGCTTACTAATGCAATAAAATCTTAAAGGTTTGGGATGTAAGTTTCTGTACAAATAAAACCAACTAAAGAGAACAGAATATCTACCTTTTCATTTTACGTGACAGATTATTGCGACTTAAGTCTTGTTTGTATCACCAGATACTCGTTTAATTTTTGCAAGATCCATTCAAAGTAAACGAGTTGTGTCCAGCTTCAAGTTTGAGCAGATTTATTGCCATATAGAGCTGTGAAAGAGTATAACAGCATTTCAAGGGGAAGAAAACGTTACGTCTGCAAACATGGTGATTGTAGTGTGATCTGTGGTGTTAATTTGTTTCCTCCAGTCTTGGACAACTTGCTGAAACCTATTATATCATGACTTCTGCTGTCAGGTCATCAGATCCTTACATCGAGTTTAAACAAACTTGTGTTTTGCAGCTTGTTAGCGATCAAAATTCCACAAAGTCAATCTCTAAATGCTTAAAAGCAAAATACCAAAAAAAAGTAAAAAAAAAAATGGTTTGGGGAGGTCTAGTCAAAGTCCAGACTACTAAGATGTGAAACGGGCTGTTGGTTCTAAAATCCTTTGATTTGGCTGAATTAAAACAAAGATCAAACAAAAATTTCTTCACTTTTTGCCAACTATCAGAAACATTTCATGGTAGGTTTTACCAGAAGGAGTGCAAAAACCAGTTTACACGTTGGTCTGGGTTGGTTTGGATATGTGTTTTGTAATAAATGAAATTTTCACTTAAAAAAAGCATTTTTGCATTTAGTCAGGAGGAAATCTTTGTCTGACGTCTCTCCTATCTTGTAGCAACCTGAATGATGGTCAGCAGGCCTCCACAAAAAATAGTTTTTCTTGAATGTTCCTCCCCCTTTTATTGTTTCTGTGAATGTATTTTCAACTTCTCACTAATATTGAAAAAGAGTTCCACACTGAAGACTGTTATCAGTGTAGCTTGTTACAGTTTAGGTGTGGCAGAAAAGAGATCAACCATTGATAGGGTTAGTGGATTGTATAATCAACCAGTTTCTTGGCGCACCTCAACTTTTTGACTTGATGTGTGCCGACCAACATGCCCCACAGTTAAAACAGGTTCTAGGAAAGGTCATCCTTGAAGCACTGAGCCTTTGTGTGTCTTTGTATTTTTTTTTTCTTATCATGCAGCAGAAAACGACCTGTAGGTGTAGTGAATCTCAATGTGATGAAAGCACAGCAAAGACGTGTGTGTAAAAGGTCTGATCGACCCGGTGTGTGATTGCCGAGGGCTTTCTAACCTGCTCAGTCTCTGTGTCTTTCACGTCCGCCGCAGCTTTGTTTTTCCTGTATCAGGGATTTGTGGAGAAGAGTATTAGAGTGTCTGTGCGTGTGATTGAGGATGCTGCTTTGGATCTCTCTGTGTTAGCACAGTTTCACAGTCTTCTTTGAATCGCTCAGATGTGTAGCCTCTTTCCTTTGGGCTGTTGAATCTTCCTCAGCTTGGGTGAAAGATGATAGGGATGATGATAGCCTGTTCTCCAGGGCTCCACAAGTAGCAATATCAGCATGGCTCAAAGCCGCCACAGCGTCCACATTGGTGTGTGTTGGGTGGGTGTTAGTCCTCCTGCCAAGCTTGTTCTCTCTTTCTGGGTATGGAGCTTTCAGGCCTGCCAACTTAAGTCATCTTCATTGAGTGTCCAGAGGTTTAATTCTGAAACAAACCCTCCACACCCAAATGCTACAGTAGGGCGGGCAGGCAGGCAGTCAGAGGATGGCTGGGAGCTTAAGGGTCCTCCTTGGAAGTCAAAAGCAATCCTGGATCCCCATGCAAGCACTAGGTCATGCTAAAATAGTACAGTGCCATGTCACACTTGCTTTGAAGAGGCAGGTTGTAATTTTAATTGATGCGCAGTTGGGGAGAGAGATGAGAAGAAGCAGCAAATAGTCCTCAAAGGAGAAAATCTGATCTCTTGTTTAGGTTTTACAAGCACAATTATGATTATATAAACGTCACAGTTTGATGATAATAATAAAGATGTTAAGAGGATATGATGGACAGAGCCTCTTCCGCTGTCCCTCAGTTTTAGTCCAACTATCCTCTTTAGTTTACACAAATCAACTGAAAATTCAGTGGATATTCACTTCTGTATTCAATCCACCTGGAGCAGCGCAGGTATGGAGCTCCAATGAGGAGTTCTGCTGCGGTCTCTTTAAAATCCTTCACTTCAGCAGATCAGCCGCTGGTTGGGATGGCCGTCAATCATCTGAAAAGACAGAGCAGATTGGAAAGAGAAATTAGAATTCATGTGGAGAGAAAGGAAACGAGCCTGAATAAATATTTGTTTTTATTACTTTACTAGTATTTTATTGCTGCCGTTATTTAGCTATGGATTTGTTTAATCCATTTATTTTAATAATAAAATGATACTGATATTTAAAAACAATGGTAGTGGTAATAATAATAATCAGAAATAACTATAACTTTGTAAATGTACCCCTACATTAACAACAAAATGAACTGTTCAACTTGATACATACACAAACCAGATACAGAAGCATGACTTTTTTTGCCATTTATTTCTTGTTTTTTCATATGAATTTATTAATTAAAATTCATGTCTTTGATAAGCTTCCCACACATAAGCTTAAGTTGCCGCTCTTGTTTTATTTTTGCCAGGTAAGGGAGTTTGGCTGGTTATCCAGTGTTATTTACACCAGCATTATTATTGTTCAAGCCCACCCAAGCTGATTTTGGGCCAGAGGTGAGGGCACAAGCAGCATTGATGAAAGGTCTATCGTTCAGCTACAGTCAATTAAATATCACTGATTAGCTTCTTAAATGACCCATAAAAACCATTATCCACCTGGGAGAACAAGGCTTTACTGCTGGGCGTCATTGATTTATTTACAGAAAGGCCAGCACCGTGTTTTACTTTTAAACTTTTGTCACTGCTGACTAGTGTCCCCAACTGTGTCTCACTGCATGGCAAGGTCATGTTTGCTGCGCAGCCGCATCCCCAGTAGTCGCTGTTCTGGTAAGTCAGTTATGACCTGGAAGGCACTGGAAGAGGTGGTCAGAGGGTAAACTGAACCAAAGCAGACTCACAGAGGTATAAACTTAGATTTTTTTTTCTGGAGTAAACACTCCTGTATATTACTGATTTTTTTTGTTGTAAATAAATAATAGAACATTTTCTGAAGAAAACTTAGATACCAGGAAAGGTCTGGCCAATTCTTCAAATTAAAAGGATTTGGTTGCCAGTTCAGTTTACTGAAACTGAACTATTTTAGTTTCAGTAAACTGAACTGAAGTTGAAGCGATTGGTCCGCACCATGTTCACAAAGTCGTTGAACTGCAGTCTGTAGAACACGGTTGTCTTTCCGGCAGAGTCTAATCCAAAAATGGTGATGTGAGAGGACTGGAAGAATGACATGTTGGAGGAAAGCTTCGGCTGTTCAGACAGTCCATTCCCCATCATTCCACATCTGGAGGAACAGGAAGTAATCCGCATAGGCGCTTATAGTCCGAAAAGGCAGCAGGAATTACCTCTCAGTGCGAGAGTCCTCTGTGGATAAAATTATTAAATCCGTGTGTTTCCAATATGTTGGCTTCTACTGTCACAATCCTTAAGTTAAGACCAGAGAGGACATCTAAAGTGTGGACAGGATTGTTACTCATTGGTCCAGAGTCTTCAGAATAAATTCAGTCTAACTTTTTATTTGGAGATCAAGGTCTCAGACTCTTGAGGAGGAATGAAGAGCCAGAGAATTAAAGTTCCTTAAGGTTCAGTGGGAAGTTGCCAAAGTGTGCTGGCGTTGGTCCACTGAGTTCAAAATCAGTGCCATCGTCTATCAGGTGATGTCAGTGCAATTTGTGCTTCCCTCTGCTGATGGGCTTTATGGGGATCCTGGTTTCATTTCCCAACAGGACTTGGAACCTGCCCTCACTGCCAACAGTACCAACCCCTGCTTTAGTGAGCATGACCATGTCCATTCACTGCATGTGAACGGACAGAAAACTGGCCTGACCTGAGCCCCATAGAGGATCTATGGGGTCAAAAAGAAGAGCCACCAGAACCAATGCAGAAAAGCTGAAGGGCACTATTAAATGAACCTGGGATTCCTTAGCACCTCAGCAGACCCCTGGACTGCACTGATGCAGTAATTCATGCTAAAGGAGTCCTGACCAACCATAGAGTAGGTATAATGGACACACTTTGAGTAGGCTGGCATTTGGGATTTCCTATACCACTACTTCTCAAACAACATTTTGAATTTATTTACTGAAATAAAGTAACATCTGGATGATATTCTAATTTATTGCTCCTGCAGTATTTAAATTCTGGTGATGGAGTTTGGATGCTATTCCTAAGATATATAGATAATTTTTTTCTTTTCGAGTTTCAGTTTGTTTTTTTAAATACCAGCTGTGTTTTAAGCAACGCCAAGATATAATGTTGAGTTTCACTGTTGGCACAATATGGAGAACTAAAATGGCTAAATAATTATCCCCCTCAGAACGATTTTACCTTTTAAAATTAAGTACATTGTGAAAATGCTTCTTGAAGGTCAACACTGCATATGTACAGCATTACGCTCCCAGCGGACAACAAACCTCCCATTAAGCAAACGACATGTTTTATGTCGGTTCTTTTTTGCTGAGGAGCTTTCATTAACCACCACTCGCTAAGTGCCTGTATCTTATGAGCAAAATGAAACCCCTGGTGAACACTGGTTTTAGAAATATAAGGTTTTCATCAGGCACACACAGAGTACACAGAGACAAATTCATCAGAAGCCATTAACTGCTCCGCTGCTCACATTCGTCCGTTCACTTCATCCCACAGTAAGTAGACTACAAAGCCAACTGGGAGATTTTTATGCAGTTTGCAAAAACGCAAACAGAAACAAATAAAACTGTCCTCATTTTCCTTCCTGAAGGACACACGATGAAGCTGAGAAGGATTTGTTTAACAGACTAAAGCCAGAGCCTGTGTGTGGCATTAAGCACCCTTCAGAAAGGGTGCTTAATGCCTAAACTGAACGCCTGACAGTGTAGATTCAAGGTGACGGTATGTGTGTGCATTTTTGTTTTACATTCAGCAGCATCCCTGGTTAAACAGATGGGAAAGAATGCATTTTACTGGGCGCAATTTATAGAAAGCGGTTATGTAGTGATATAAATTGTCCTATTCATAAAAACAGCAGCAATGTGATATCCAGTTTGTGGATTGTAAACTGATTTCTATGTGCAGAGTGAAGCTGAAATATGTGATGAAAGCAGATTCATTTGGGACAGAAGGCTAAACATAGTTTGAAAAATGTAATTTACATAGAAAGAACATATTGGGGACTAAAGACTAAAGAGAAGCAGCATTCAGCTTCTATGCACCACAAATCTGGAACAAACTTCCAGAAAACTGCAAAACAACTGAAACTCTGAGTTTCTTTAAATCAAAACTAAAATGTCACCTGTTTATGGTTGCTTTAGAATCATAATAAATGGAACATTGACCAACGTGTTTGATGTGTATTGATAGTTTTGATGATGCCACTCATTAAAATGTAATTTTTGTTTCTGATTTCTCAATTGCTGACTGTATGGTGTATTTTGTGGCTTTTTTGTGTGTTTTTATAATGTAAATTACTTTGAACTGCCTTGAACTGAAGTATGCTATACAAATTGGATTGATTGATTAAAGAAATTACCTAATCAATACTTCCAAGAATATAAAAGTTAGTTTAAACATAGGATGATATATAGCTTACAAAAAGAATAAAGTGATTAAATATACTGCTAAGGCATTTAAAAATATTGACAAGAAAATAATATTAAATGGACATTAATGAGTTATAATGAAACGATAATAGGCATAAAAATGCAGTAACATCAACAGAGATATTACAGAAGTCAGTAAAAGTAATTAGGGTGTTTAAAACATCTCATTAGAGTTTCAGGAGTAACAGGGTCTCTGTAGGAACTTGGGCTCTGAAATATGTTCATATTTTCCATACTAAGCCTTTATGGATAAGTCTGACATTTTTTTATTTATTCTCGCAACAGTTTCTTCTTTTATTTTATTAACCACGAGTAGTTTCTGGTAAAATAGCTGTATTTTATTTTTGGCAACTGCAATCAAATTTTCTCATGTTATTCACTAACAGGCTCATAGCAAAATATAGATTTAATTAGATTTGGCTTGAAAACTGAGATTTCTATAGCTGGCTAGATTGTAAGAATAAGTAACCTTCGTGATACTTAATGCATACTGTCTGAATGTGTTGAAATTAGGTAACCTAAGTTTAAAACTACTAGGAGTCCAAACAAAATAAAATAAAATTATACAGTTATAGCATATTACATATGCACAGTTATATACGCAGTTATATTAAACTTGAATAAATTGTTAGGCAGTAACTTTCGCAGATCTTACAATGTCTTTAGGAAATGGTCTTTAAGAAATCTTAACAAGTCTCAAGTAGTGAAACATACAGAACACCTGGAACTAAGAGACAAAGTGATTAACTCATAATACTGTTTGGGTAAATAAAATAAACAATCAAAGAAAATTGAAAAATAATATACTTTAAGTAAATCTAAGTAAATTGTTTATCTATATACAAATAACTTTTATGGATGAAAAAGTAAACTCATTTGAGAATTTATTTTGATGCTCCAAATATAAATATTTCATATTGTACATATTATTTTATTGTAAGATAATACTTAATTTCTCTTTAATTCTTAAGTAAAAATACCACACAAAGCACATTCATCATCTATGGTCATCAAACAGCATTTCAGAAATATGGAAGACGGGGTAGAAAGCCACTACTCAGTGCCTAGACACTCACTCAACACTGTATTGATCAGACATCATTGTGTAAATAACCAGTTAACATCAGGAGCATTGGTGAAAATAGACTGATATGTGACGCTAATTATCAGAACAAGACCTTAATCAAGGTGTTGCTAAAACTCAACCCTTGGTGTACCTATGATTATGATTTTGTGTTTGTTGTACCCCCAGTGAGCCATGCATCTGTCATTTGGTAGACCAGTTTATAACAGTCATAGCTAGACCTGTCACAATAACCAATAAATAATTAATTGCATGATAAATTAAAATGAACTGAAGATTGTGTTTTCCCTATATTGTGTACAATGAATGTGTGGGGATCCAGGGTTTTGGGATGGTGGGGTTGTTCATCTTTTGTCCACCAGAGGGCGTCCTGAGGTTTTGCCTGGAGGGTTGGCCTTCAGCTCGGGTCCCAACACACCTGATGCCAATCTCGTCAGCTCCTATAAGAGGAGGGAGTCACCGTCACTTCACTGCCAGAGTGTCACCAATGTTCGGTACTACAGGCCCCAGAGTTCACACCTCTGTTTTTTTTTGTGATTTAGTCTAGACAAGTTCTCAGTGAACCTTTGTGTCTCTCCCTCAGAGATCCGAGATTGCTGTGCTGTGGAATCCCTGTCCGCCCGTCCGCACTCCGACGCCGCCTCTTCTGCCGTCCACCTCCCACCATCAACCCCGGACTCCCCAGGCGCCCTTTCCCCTCCCGGCTCGGACCCGCTCCAAGCCCAAGTAGGTCCACCGACTCCGTTTTGTTGCATTGAGGATTCCAAACTGAACCAGAATTAACCCTCCCTGTCCTCCTGTGCTCAGAATTCTGGAGTCAGCCGTGAGAGGAGATCCATGCCCCCCATGTCACCTGCCTTCTTCCTGTTTTGCTTACAATAAACCTCACACAATAAAAACTAGTGCTCTCTGTTGTGTTTCTGCATGTGGGTGAAGAAATTAGAATCTGACATGACAGAATGAGAGTATGCACCGGAGGCTGTAGCCTCTGTATGTCTGTCATGTAACCTGTTCTGGATGTTGTATTCAGACAGTTGGAGACCAAAGCAGCCGAAACATCAGTCATCAAAGAAAAGTTTATAGAGCAGGAGAAAAATAAGAGAAAAAAAAAAAAAAACATCTGTTTGTATGCGATTACCTGGAACCATATTAATGTTTGCAACTAGCCTAATTATCAACCACTAGCATCAAAACAGGTCATAAACAAGTCATAACTTTAAGTCAAATGCTTCATATAAAAGCACAGTCAGCAAGATAAAGATACACGTTTATTGAAGACAGCCTTATTTATCTGGTTAGATTTATCTGTAGAAACAAAACTCTGTCCTGTTGAAACTCCACTTGGTACAAAATATCTGTCGCTCTCGAGAAATACTGAGACTGCATGCACTAGATTAGCAACGATAAATTAGTTAAGTGGGATGCAGTCACAATACAAATGTAGACCATGAAGAAGGCTGCTGTCACATATGCTGTGTGCTTTTTACTGCACTTTAAAGCTGTAGTTCTCAAACCTATACATGACATTAATTTAATGTGATGACTCAGATCAGTATCAGTGGAATGTATTGTAATTGGGACAGCCCTAATGAAAACTATTGTCAGAGAAGAGAAAATCCTCCCTGTATTAACAGCAGTGCTTTCAAAAGAACCAGAGCTTCTTTCTCTCTAAGGTTAATTTACGGAGGATTGAGCTAAAGTGTAAAACTGCTGTGATCTGATCGTTCAACATGTTATTTTTGGGAAACCAAAACACGCTCATGCCATTTAAAGAGGTAATCTCTCCTGGTAAACCTTGATCCCTAATATGCTGCAGTGCTTCCCAGGGATGATTGTTTATTTGAACAACATCAAACCCCAATCTGTATGTGCAAACAACAAGATTACTTCATTGAGGAAGACTGCAGTTGCTAAGCTAACATGTCTGTAGGCATGACCTTAAACCAGATCAAAACAATTATCATATTAAAAGGAAACACATAAGAAAAACTTTGCAAGAATAGTAAAAAGTCAGACTTTCCAAACTCTAATGATGCACCACAATGGTAAACACACTCCTCTCTAAATATTTTTTGATGTTTGTGTTTACATTGAAGTGTATTGTTCTTCTTGAGTTCCAAAGCTGAATTAAAGTATAATTTAGCATCATTAGCTGTGTATAAAGAGCAGCGGTCACCTTGAATATTAAGAGCAGTTAGTTTAAAACGACCTCCTGTAATATGATTTGCTCTGAGGTCCAACCTTTCTTACACCCTTCGCTAATCTTTATCTACTGCATACAAAATATCTGCCTGTATTGGTGCCTGTAAGTGCCTGCTGAAGATCAGCAGCATTTCCCCACAGCTCGCTGCCATCACCCATTAGATCCTGACGGGTACATAAAGTTAAGGCTGCCCTTCAAACTTTCTGTCAGGGATTTTAAGAAGTCAAACCAGGCATAGAGAGATGGAGATGGAGAGGGGGGGAGTGCATGAATGAGAAAAGCAGGCAGCCAAGAGTCAAAAACATTTAGACAGACGTGAGTTTATAAAATGTTTATCAAGGTGTGTGGAAGGTTAGAGGAAAGGGCAGGAGGTTACTGTCTGGCATTGTGTCTCCCACATTTCTAATAAACATGCCACCCAAGATGCATGGCGTGTAAATTTTCCCACAAAACTCTTTGGCATGTCCACTTTGTTGTCACTTTATTAGGCAGACCTTGTAGCAGGTTGAACCATTTTTTTTCCCCCTTTAGAACTGCCTTATTTCCTCAAACCACAGGTTCAACAAGGTTTTGGAAACATTACTTGGGGACTTTGTTTCATACTGACATGATAGTATCGCTCAGTTGCAGCAGATTTGTGCTTTGCACTCCCATTATGTGACTCTACATGTTCACCACATCCTAAAGTGGCTTTGTTAAATTGAGATCTGGTGACAACAACAATGCTTGGGTAGGCTGTGGTGTTTCAACTGGGCTCAAGTGGTACTTGGGGGCACAGACCGTGCTGAGAAAATAACTCCGTAATAGTACTAGTACAACACCCCACCAGCCTGAATCACTCACTCATACGAGGCAGGTTGCATCCATAGTTTCAGGTTTACACCGCCAGCTGACTGCTGAGACTCACTGAGCTAGGCAACATTTTGTCACTTGGTTATTGTCCAATTTTGTGAAAGGATTGAAGATCCAGTTTTCTGTCCCTAGTTGTCATCAGTGGCATCGGGTGTGGTTTCTGCTGCTGTAGTCCATCTACTCTGTGCGTAGGTTGGTTGTAATGAGTGAGCTTCTCTTGTCATCATGAACCATTTTAACTGACATCAGCGTATACGAGACAGAGAACGTATGCGTTCTCTGTCTCTTTGTTTCGGAGACACAGAGACAACTCTCTGTCGGTTCTGTCAACCCCAGCAGGTTGTTGCCCTGTTTTGGCATTGTCAAAAATGTTGTTGCTGCTCCTTTAACTTGACCACCTTGCCATCTCTTATTCTAAAACTTTTTATGCATCATTAAACAACTGTCACCATATATATTGCAGCATAAAGAGACTGAATGCATGATGGAGCTCTTCGCCTTCTCTGTAAGGTTGAGTTTCTCCCCCCTATGCAGGTAGCTCTACTCTCAGCAGCTTGTTTTCAGGATATTCAGGTCATGATGCATCTCGTGATCAATATTGAGGTTCGGAGCATGGACAGACTGGTAAATTGAAAGTTTCACGTTGTAATCCTGCCATCACTCTGACTCCACCAGGTCCAATCAATCACACAATGAATGCATCTTAACTACAAACCAACCACCTCTCTTTGAATCACTGAGGGTTTAAATCTTTTTAATTTATAAACTTAAGTATTGTTCGATTACTGCATCCCAGTGGGAGATGAATATCTGATCTCTTCACTATCATCAAAGCCCTTTACTCTGATGCTATAAAAAGGTTGAAATAAATCTGGCTTTCATTCGGGAATTGTTCCTTTGAGCAGCTTTATGCCAGAATACTAGAGATTAGAGCAGACTATAGAGGCAATGAAGAGCTAAATAAGTGTTTGATTCACTGGTGTCTACTCCTGGAGTATATTTGTTGTCTTATTTAGCTTCTTCTCAGGTGAATTCAAGCGTGTATAAGGTAATGCAACATTTAGATTAGATTTTATTAAATTAAATAGTAAACTGTAAAGTTGTCTATATGTATTATTTGACGGGCAGACCTGGAAGAAAAAAATATATGTACTTTCTCTTTTACTTATACGAACACCAGTATGTGGAGAAGAAGATGAACGATGGAAGAAAAGAGCAGGTTCTCATACTCCAGCGACCCCGTACTACTTTGGTCAATAACAATAACTCCTTGACCCTGCCACATCTTATCTTACGTTCTTGGTTTTTTTTTTTTTTTTTACGCATAACACAGTTCACAGAAATGTCCTGTTCCTCATGGGGACAGAAATCGCTCTGCTTTTTGTTTTCCAGCCAGTGACAACTGTGCAGCCTTCAGCCATTCAGCACTGTGTGACTTTCACTGTGGCCTGTGTGAACATTCACCCACAGTTTTTGCTTTGAATAGTAATGATGAAATATTAGCTATTTATTTTCCTCAGCTGAGTGAAGGCAGAGACACCCGGTGACAACAAGATGGCTGAGTGAACTGACGGTAATATAACGGCATGGACACCTTAGTGCTGCTGATGACTGCATGAATAGCAAATAGAAGTGGCAAGAAGTCTGTTTACAGGAGGGTGTGCAGATGCGCAAATTTGAGCTCTAAGTGATTTATATTATTACAGGTTCCAGATGGTGGAACAATGTGGATAGATACATATCCAGGATATTCATATCTGCTGTTTATGGCCAATCTTCCACCTCTGATTTATGTACAGCTTTGACCTGCCAATGCCGATTTTAGCTGACTCGATTCCTTGTAGGCGCTATAACATTGGAAGATGGTCAATACGTACATCTACAGTATACATTTATGTTTGATGAGCAGAGGCAACATCACACCACTGCGTGAGGGAACAGTTGCTCTTCAACAGGGTTTTACAGTTATTTTCAAACAAAATGAGGATCACGGGGTTCATGATTTAAACATGTATTAGTAGAAGTTATTAACAATTAGTGCAACATTCCCTTAGCTCAGACTGGTAGTTCTCAAACAACACTGCAAACATTTTCCCAAGTCCATCATGTTAAATAGCAAGCAGAGGTTGAAATGTCAAAAGACTAGAATGGAGCAACTTTGCTCTAATAGTCAGCTTACTGTTTGCTGCACGTCTTGCTCTCTCTCGCTCTCTCACAGAAGATAGTTTTCTTAAAATGGCTTTCCATGTCCATTCTTCCTCAGCTCAACCACCCTGCTGATGCTATAAATCGCTGTACAGTCTTCATCGTACAGTAACGACTCCCACACAGCAGGGTTGTTGTCAGCATAATGTGGTAGTGTTCAGCATGCTGCATTCACTGTATCGAAAAATATTCACTTTTTGTGTTGCCATCTGATTTCCATTATTAGATCTCTAGGAGAGATCGGTTTCTAATTAAGAGAGCTATAAAACAGCGATTGGTCTTAAGATGATTAAGAGGATTCCTGAGGTCTTACATTTTGCCAGATTTACTGAAAAATTGCAATGATTGATGATAAGCAGATGAAATACAAAA